TGTTAATTCCAAGTTGGTCTCTTTGCCACCAGATGCCCAACGATCGATTCAGGATGACCTGATTGATTGGTAGTGCACCTTTGTGATCCATGATTCGGTTCGCTGCATGACATGAGTCGGAACAAGAAGAGAAAAACGAGCGATGCGTGTGCGCCTTGCACATCGATCGGCCTGTGTGTCTGTCTGCACTCCTCCGGCCAACCAAGAACGATAAATCAGGGGAGGCCGCTCGTACGCTGGGAGATTCTTCATCTCCGTTTGAATTTGGAACAAAGTGTTAAATGATTTGGATCCACGTGGTTCCAAAAATCTCCAATATGAAATGAATTTGATCGCCATAGGATCGTACCATATCTCTACTTATATACAACTGCTAGATGGAATTATGCTGCATTCGAGGACACGCATAGCAGCCGCACCTTCTGTCCATTCAAATACTATACTCCTCTGCGCAAGTCCACACTAATCGTCTCACCCTGTACCTGAACCAGAGGGAGGAATTGGCGTCGACCGATCCATCCATCATGGCAGCCACGCAGAACTAGAGGAGACAATCCACATGTTTTCGGCAGGAGCCATTTTCCACAGCGGAGCTTGGATTCGATGAATTTGCTGCTCGGTTTCGGGCACAGTTCCCCTAAAACGTCCATGTCCTGAGGCTAATTAGACTTTCTTGTCGTGTCAAGAAAATAGTCGTCCGAACATTTTTGGGGTCTTCCTTTGTTTTTTGTTACTCAACATATAAGATTTGTTTGAAGTCAAAGTATGCAACGTCTGATCAAATTATATTTAAAATATCAACATCTACAATATTTAAGTGTGTGTGTGTGTGTGTGTGTGTGTGTGTGTGTGTGTGTGTGAAAATTAATTTCATCAACCACCTAATGATATTGATTTTCTGTTGTGAATGTTGTTATTTTTCCTAAAAAGTTGGTCAAATTTTATGAAGTTGATATGCAGATTAAAAAGAAGCAAAGGAAGTATTATAGCAACTCTAGTAGTATTGCCATTATCAGTCGGATCATCATAATAATCGCTTATGTGATGTTTGAGGCCCAAAAACAGGTCCAACGGATTTGCCATACCAGCATCGGCCTGCATGTTTTCTGCATCACGCTCCGAACAGTGGGTCGCCACCTTCAAATTTGGATACCGAGAGCATGGTTAGTAATACCGTTAATAATCAATTATAAAAAGTTTTCATGTTATCTAAAGCCAACCTAATAGTCGGCTTGTACAATAAGAAGTATTAAGTATGTACTACTTTACTAATAATAGGTCCATCTTACAATCTCCCAAAGCGTCTTAGGTCTCGTGCTAAAGCCGACTCTTATTCTACGGCTCGCTTTCCTTCTCTTTACTTATCTATCTCCTTCAACTAAGCAAAGATGTAATATTTTAGTCTTTATATATTGTCTGCTTTATGTCACCTTACTGTACTTACTCTGAGCGCGTTGATATGAAGCAAGCTTTCAAACCAACAGTGTATCCCGGTTGTAATGCACGGGCACTGCCCATCGGAACTATCAAAGTGTGACAAATATGTCGCGCCAAGTGGAACTCATACTTTTTGTTCAATCCCCACCATTCAAAGTTGAGATAGTACTCCTTCCGTTTTTATTTACTCTGCATATTAGAGTTGACTGAAGTCAAACTTCGTAAAGTTTGACCAAATTTATATAAAATAATATAGACATTTATCATAATAAATCTATACGATGTGAAAGTACATTTAATAATAAATCTAATGTTGTTGATTTGTTATTGTATATCTTAATATTTTTGTATATAAATTTGGTCAAAGTTTGTAAAGCTTGACTTTGACTAAAGCTAATATGCGAACCTACGTGTGTCAGGTCACTTGGTAGTTAAGTAGCTGGTTGATTGATTTGGGTAACGGGGTCACTTTTTAAGCACCCCTGGCAAGCTAGCTAACTAGCTGATCAGTTTCCCGGTAATTCTGTGTTCTAGAAGCAAACTATTTTATGTACTTGCAACCAACGGCAGGCATGCAACCTGCTAAAAGTCGCCTTGGCGAGAGAAAGATGGAATGAAGTAGTACTAAGCCAGTGATCAGGATGATATGACGGTGATCGCCGACCTGAATCAATCAATCTCTCATCGCATTCCAGGTCCACCGTACCGATTATAGCTTTTTCTTCGAAAAGGGGATCTTTCCGGCCTTTGCATCAGAGTAATGCATACGGCCATTTTATTAACCAAATAAAAAAATTTCAACAAGGTTTCGAAGTCTTCAACTGTAGAAAAAAGGACAGCAAACTCACACAGAGCCAAAGAGGGCTAGAAACACAAACTAGCCAAGAAAAGACGCCACAACCGGCTGGCTAAAGATAGATAGGTGAACTAATTGCCTATCCTATTACATGGCCGTCATCCAAACCGGTTGAAGATATACCGAGCTACCATCTCCCAGCGGGTAGATCCATTAACCAAATGCTCCCATCGGAGTGAGTAGCGACCACGAACGGATCAGTGCCGTGGCTCGGAAAATAACCTGCAAAAAATGAATACGTGATGTTCTGTTAAAAACCAAATCATTTCTGCAATTCCAGATAGTCCACATCAAAGCGCAAACTCCAACCCGAATGTGTCTCGCTAAGTCAGGCTCAATCCCATTAAGCCATGTCCCAAATAACGTGTTGACATAATTCGGTGGAGTAATATTAAAAGCAACGTGGACCGTCCGCCAACGGACTTTGGCCAACGGGCAATAAAGAAAGAGGTGTTTGATCGTCTCATCCCGATCACAGAAACTACACCTAGTAGGTCCTGTCCAAATACGTTTTATCAAGTGGTACTTGGTTAAAATAACTTGTTTATGGACAAACCACATAAACACTTTTATTTTCAAAGGAACTTTGACATCCCAAACATGCTTGGAGGTAGAAATGGAGTTCGAATTAATAACATCAATGTACATTGATTTAATCGTGAATACTCCCGACCTAGTCAGTTTCCAGCGTAATTCATCGAGTTGTTGAGAAAGCTGAACCTCCATCAGTCTCCTAACTAGACGGAGCCATTTTTCCCAATGATTGTCCGCTAGCGACCGTCTAAACTGAATATTAAGGGGGTAGATTGAAATACCGTTGCAACGAACACCTCACGTCGTTGAACAATACGATACAAAGACGGATATTGAATGGCCAAGGGTGTCTCGCCGAGCCAAGTATCCTTCCAGAAACGCGTACTAGCTCCGTTTCCAATAACAAACATTGTTCCATTAAACAAGGATTGTACCGATTATATATAGCTAGCCAGGGAAGCTATCAACAAGGCTGTCGGCCTGCCCTACAGCCGCAGGGAGAAAGGTATGCATGGTAGCCATGCACCTTGATTAAATTGATTGATCAATCTATCCATTGCGGTTCCACCGGAAGCTACTAGTACAAAGTAGAGGCTTCGCCGCCGGGTCGAACGAACGAGCGAGCTAGCTCACACCTCAGAGTTAACGTGCCGTGCTTTTGCTCTCGTTCGAGCTGCACTTTCGATGCCGGCATGGCAACCACCGATCGACTTTGTCATTTTCAGCCGCACTTTGCAGGTTTGCGAGATGAGACGATGGAGTTGGTCCGTCGAGGGAGGGTTGACGAAGCATTCGGTGGCTTGCCGTGCCGAGCGTTCCTAGCTCCCTTTGACAGTGCATTTTCCACCAGCATTTGCATCAGCAGCGCGGTAGATAGACGCTCCGCGTCAATCGACGTGGGTGAAAAATCGGTGCAGGCGGGCGGTTCCGTTATGTCGCTCTCTTTTCTATTTTTGCCAAGCATCATATATACTACTGTTCGATCGTCTCGTCACTCGAAACTGTAAATAAGTTTACAAGTATGTACTGTGCAACAGTTGAGCAACCGTAAAGTGAGATTAGAACATAAAACCATGCAATGATATTAGCAATGGGCACTTATTTCCTCAGCGCTTTTGTGAATTTCCTTGAAAATACATGTATATATGTAACTATCGTTGTCTTTCCCATTGCGTTTAAACTATGCGTCCAACAAAAGTCAAAGACGATCCCATCGCAAGGAAAAACACCGAGCCTAGCATACTTAAGGCCTGAAGCCCAGCAACCAATCATGGTACATCTAAGAAAAGTAGAATCCATAAAAGAAGAATGGCGCAGCAAAGCACGCGACAACTTCTAGTCAGTATAATGCCCAAAACGCTGAACGAATGGAGTAGTAAAGAACATATTACTGTGTTAGTACTATGGATCCCTACACGTACTGCTTCTGAAATTATGGACGCGAACTCCGTTTCTGTGCGCAAGATGGCTACGTGTGAGCCAACCACGCGGAAGCAAAACTCAAGCGCTGGCTGGCATATTTTTTTTTTGAAGCCGGGCGCCACCTCTTTTCATTACTCATCATAACGAAAATACAAAGTTGAAGTCGATCCACAATTAACGAAAACCACACGAACAGACGCAAAGACCTACCAACAATCATAAGAAAACCGAAAAGGAAGCGCGAGCTCAGAGCACCACTGGGAAACCCATCACAAGCACCCGTCATCGGGCAGCTCATCGCGGGGCGAAACCCCAGTGACAAAACATGTGACATGTGAGATACCCAGCTTTCCCGGGCTTCCGAGACGATGCTGTCTGGGGCCAAATTTCAGCTTTTTGAGGTTGTCGATTGTTAGGTGCACAAATATGTATGGTTCTATTTCTTAAAAAAAATGCATGTTTCCTAATTGCATTGTGTGTGTATGTGTGTTTTGCCTCAAAATAGTGGGGAATTCCATTATTTTCCAACTGCATCTATATATGACGTGCCCCCAAACAGTCATAATGATTTTTTTGATTTGTTTTTAACACAATACAGACGCAGACGTTCATATGCTTCATGTACTCATCTCCTAAGACGTAGTAAGAGGATAATGTAGTCGGCCGTCAACATTTAATCTTGCAGAGCGTATGTATGCATACATATACGTTGTGCATATACAATATATTCATTCATTCTAGCTATGTCGGTCTACTGCACGAGGTAGTTGCTGAGCGCCTGTTGAAGCACGCCCCGGAAGCGGCCGAGGTCTAGGGTGATGTTCTAGCCGTCCATGAGCGTCTGGCGCATGAACCCGAACCCTTTCTTGTGCAGCGACGTCAGGTCAGTGAAGATCTTGTGGCCCCTCGGGGTACTTGTCCTTGAGCGAGCTCTCCTTGACGCCGATCTCGTATTGCACGTATCGGAGCTCTCCTCGACGCCGATCTCCAGTTGTGAATTGAGGGTGAATTTGCAACTGGATCAACCTCAGTTGTGAGCTGAGGTTGGACTTGTAACTGGGCGGGCCCCAATTGCGAGCCGGGGTGCACATGCAATTGAGACCAAAAAAATGTTGAAACCCAATTGCGATTCGAGAGTGGGTTGCAACTGCGACAAAAGAAGGTCGGACCCCAGTTGCAAATTGAGGGTAGAATTACAACTCGAATAAAGAAAGACAGCCCATGTTTGATGGTGGACAATCAACTAACAATGATGGAAAACAATCATGAATTTAAAAATTAAAAATAGAAAAAAAAAGTTATGAATTTGGAAAAAAATATGAATTTGAAACAAATGAAAGAAAAAGGAAAAAAAAGAGAGAAGACAACGCACGAGGGGATGTGGGATGTGAAAAAAGAAACAGCGACCTACGGCCACAACGGGCCCCTTGCGCAAGTGACGCGTACGGGAACAACATCAATCGATAAAAAAGAGCATAGGTTTTTTCGAGAACACCTCGAGAGGGGCAGGGAGTTCCTGCATTTCATTAAGAAGAAGGGAGTTGGTCCAATTTATAAGAAAAACTGGACCCAAAAACCTAATATTCTCGGCTAAATAGGGAAAACCGAATGAAAACCCAAAAAGAAAGAAAAAACAAAATGAAAAAAGAGGCACTAAAACTTGGGGACAGGGACAAGAAAAATGCAGCGTCAAGGGACATCGTCATAGCCGAGCACCTAGGCCCAAAGTAGTTAGGCGAGGGTCAAGTGCAACCAAACTGACCGCCACTCGCCGCAGGGAAACTGTTCAAATCGAATGACTCTTTTGTCTCGACTACAAAGAATCATTTGCTAACATTATCTTGCGGAAAACATCCCGAGAGGTCCAACTTTAACTTCCCCGCGATCCTCACCGAAGAGCTCAACACCTCGATCACTTGCGGTGAGAACGGTTTTTTTTGACATGTCTAGGTATGCTTGCATCTTTTGCTCGGACCCTCTGCTTTGCTGACCTCCGACAGCTCATCAAAAGCCGCCAACATCCTATACTATGCATGCTTGGATGTCGGGATGTTACACGCCTTGTTCTTCTTATCCAGACGCCCGCTCCGCCGCCCGCCACTCTTCTCCCCATGCGAAGGCACTGGGGTCCCAAGCAAAGGTTGTGGGAGCGGACAAGCAACCTTGCTGAGAAAATCCTTCAGAGATAATGGTGCCGCTTTAGTTTGCGCCACATTGGCAAGAACATTGCACACCTCAACCATAGGCTCAACCAGAACATCCAGTGCATTACCGAGCGGCTCCTCTGGACTCGGCGTCGGACGTACAAGGAAGTGCACCACGGAAGACGAGGAGGGGCCTCCAGGGCGTGGCAACCAGAGCGTAGCCTCCGAGCACATAGGAGTAATCTTAATGTCTAAATCATGTGGTTAAAAAGTTAGATGTGAGATAACTATTTCATATAAATATCAAATCTGTTAAACTTTTTGATTTATTTTTTAACACAGTACAGACGCAGATGCTCATACGCTCTCGTGTACTCACCCCCTAAGACGTAGCAAGAGGATACTGTAGTCTGCTGTCAACAATTAACGAGAAATGGAGAGAAATATTTGGAAGTATGTGTGTGTGTATACATATACATGGTGCATACTATAACGGACGATGTATTCATTCATTCTAACTATATATGATATATGTCGCCCCCTCAAAAAAAAACTATATGATATATGTCGGTCTACTGCGCGAGGTGGTTGCCGAGCGCCTGCTGGAGCACGCCGCGGAAGCGGCCGAGGTCGAGGGTGATGTTCTGGCCGTCCATGAGCGTGTGGCGCATGAAGCCGAAGCCCTTCTTGTGGAGCGACGTCGGGTCGGTGAAGATCTTGTGTCCCCTCGAGTACGTGTCCTTGAGCGAGCTCTCCTCCACGCCGATCTCGTACTGCACGTACCGGAGCCCCATGGCCTCGGCGGGGTCGCCGTAGTCCATGCGCGCGATCCACTGCAGCCCGCCCCACGGCACCACCTGCACCATCGTCGCCCCCGGCGGCAGGAACATCATGTTGGTCAGTCCGGCGCCGTGCACGCCCAGCAGCACGTCGGCGGAGTTGATCTCCGCGCCGACGCGCGAGATGGAGTCGCCCACGTCCGACTCGCTCACCGCCGCCTCGAACCCGGCCTCCTCCGCCACGCGCAGCATGTCGCCGAGGTTCAGCAGGATGCGGGTCCGGTGCCGCGCGATGATCAGCAGCCGGGGCTTGCGGCCCGTGCCGTCGGCGAGGCGTGTGGGCGCGTCGCGGGGCAGGGAGAGCGCGCGCCGGATGAACCGGGTAAAGTCCGGCGTGGCGAGGCCGTCCGGGCTGCGGTCGCGCTCGATGATCAGCTCCCGGTGCGCGCGGAGGCTCACCACCGCGTGCCGGAAGCAGTGCGTCTCCCCTTTGGCGGCGGCGGCGGCGAGGTCGAGGGGCGCGTGGCGGGAGAGCTCGCGGAGGAGCTTGTCGTACTTGACCAGCCACCAGGGCGCCACGTTCGCCATCACCAGCTGCACGTCGCCGCGGTACCGGTGCACCGTGTTGTAGAGCGGGACGAGCACGTCCGAGAAGTCGTGGAAGATGTTGCCCGTGTACCCGCCGATCGAGAACGTCACGGCCGGCACGCCGTGCGTCCTGGTGCACTGCGGCGGCGGGGGCGTCGACGAGGAGGACGTCGTCCGCACGGTGATCTCGGGCACGCGGCCCATGCACGTCTGGTCGCCCTTGCGCGGGTACGGCCGCACCTTGTGCGACTGCGCGGCCGTCGCGGCGTCGACGACCACGACGAACGACGACGCGTTGGCGTCCATGCGGATGTCGCCGGTGAAGTCGCAGACGTCGCTGCGGCGGTCGGAGAAGTCGCACAGCGGCGGCAGAGGCTGCTGCTGCGGTTGGTCCCGGGCGGCACCTGTGCAAGCGTGACGCACGCCACGTTAGTTAATCAGGTCGTTAAATAATGTGGCACATGTTACGAAGTAAATGCGATTGCCACGTACGTTCCGGTTCCGGCGTCTCCAACCTCCCCGGCGTCGGCAGCTGCTGCGGCTCCGTCGTCGCCGGCTCGGCCTGGAGCTTCATCATCCGGCCGCCGGCCTTACGCGTCTCCCCCTCTGGAAAAGCAAAACGTGCAGAGACCGTGTCGCGTGTCACGTCAAGGTGTCAAATGGACTTTGGAATTCTCCACGTCGTGCCGACCGACCGTGCGTGCACGATGGGTTCGGTTGGCCGGTTAGTTGGTTTCTTCTTACCTGGCATTGGCAGCAGCTGGTCCTGGTCGTGCCGAGTCGTCGTCGTCGCAGGCGTCGGCGTCGTCTCCACGGCCGGACGCGCGGTGATCACGGCCGCCGTGGGCCGCACGACGTCGTCGCGGACCACCTCCTCCGTCGCACCTGCCAAATTGCCAATGCCATGCCAGTTCGGTTACCACGTCAACGTCTTGCACACTCCATGATTTATTCGCGTCATTTTCACTCGCGTCGTGGGCTCGTGTCGATGCCATGTTTTCAGTTCGTCCCGCGCACGAACGAACGTACCTGGTGTAGCGTCCTCGCCGGCGCCGGCGTCGGCGCCGTGGCCTTGCTCTGCCTCCTCCTGCTCTGCCCTCTCGGCGGCGACGGCGCTGCTCTCCTGGATTATCACCGTGTCCTTCACCCCTGCGACAAGAAGTACTCCTAGAAAATTAACTTCATGCAGACAAAAATAGTACTCGTGGCCGGCAAAATATGATAGTAGTTGCGACTGCTGGCTACGTACATTCCGTCTCTGTCTTCTCGCCGGCGCTCTGCTCCGGCTGCCGTCCATGGGCGTCTCCCTGCTTTGGCGCGACGTCCACCAGGAAATCCCGGCCTAAGCCGCGGGGCAGGGAGGAGGAGGAGGGCTTGACGGTCTTGACGGCCGACCTCACCGGCGTGCTCCGCGTCTCCTCCAACCACGCCATCTTGGGGCTCACTGCACGCACCATATATGGTTTCCTTCACTTCCAGAATTCAGAGCAACCGAGAAGCGCCCATGGAAAACATGGCCGGAGCGAGCAGCAAGCAATGCCGGCGAGAGCGAACTCACGTGTGTCGAAGACGGTGGAGTCGGGGCGGGTGGAGAGGAGGAAGGTGACGGAGATGAGGAAGCAGCCGACGACGATGGAGAGCAGCCGGAAGCGCTGCGACTCGAACCGCACGCCGCCCAAGCCCTGCTGCTTCATGCCGCCGTGGAGCTCCTCTAGCTAGCTAGCTCGCCGTCCGTGGCATGCAAGGGCCAGCCGGCCAGCTAGCAAAACGGCTTGCTGTGAACTGCTAGCTCTTCTATGGGCATGCAGGTTGGTAATGGAGGAAAAAGTAGCCGAGCGTGGTAGCCAGCGGGCAGCCTCTCTTGAGAAGAAAATGGGGTGGCTGCCTATAAGTATTATCGTGCTGCTTGTGCGGCTGTCCCGTGGAACAAGGCAAGGCAAGCACCAATAATACCGACAACGCAACTGCTGGAAAAGAGGACAAACTAATTAATAAGGTACACAAACGATATTCAGTTTGTAGCAGAGTAGTAGTACTCTTCATAGTAGTAGTATTTACTGAAGAATAGCAGATACGAATATTGTATGTATGTACACCACAGCCGTTCCGAAAACGGGTAGAGAGCATGTGCTCAAAATTCCATCAAGTTCGACCACGAACAAATTAAAAACGGAATAGATATCATACGATTTTGTCATCGTGGCGTACCCTACTCGTAAGAAAGCCATGGTCAATTTTTTTTTCTTCCACAAATTCAGTAGGAAAATACAAAAATCGTGAACTATTGAGTACTGTATAAACAAATAGTGCACCCAGCTCCCTCTTTATTGCCAAGTTAGTATAGTTAAAATGTTCAAAAAAAAAGTTAGTATAGTTAAAGATTCCATGTGTATGTGGGTGTGGGGTTGATGCAAGAGCATGACCCAGCCATGTTCTCCACTCCCTCCCTCCCTCCCTTGTAAATCCCGGGGCACGCTACCGGTGTTTGCACATAGTGGAGGACCATGCCCCTTTTCTCATCTCTTTGCCACGCGTCTTGAATTGCTGGTCATGGTCTTGTCTTCAATCAAAACACTAATATTTCATTTTTTTGGTTATTTTTTCTTTTTTCAACACAGACACAATACGTATGCAGACTCATCTCTAAGAACGCACGTACCCACGCACATCCTATCCCTATGAGTAATTTCTTCATTCGGCGGACCAACTATACCATGCCTATGTGGATGTCAGCCAGTCAAACGGGCCAAACGGCGGAAGCTTCCAACACGTCCGAATCACAAAAGGGAAAGAAAGCTCTGAAAATTAATAAGAGAATAATAAGATATATATAGTACCAAAAGTGAGCGGAAGATGATTTGTTTGGCACGTTTCGGGGCGACTGCGTCCTGAAATCCTGCAGTAAATCCATGGAATCTAGTTAACCAATGTTGCGCAGAATGCCTCTTCCCCATTCAGAAACACATGCGGATTTGTCTCTCTCTAGTCTTAGTCTCTACTGGTGTCTGGCGTGGCTGCCGGCCGTAATGGATGGATCGGTCCACGGCTCCACGCTGTGATTCCTCCGCCAGTTTCAGACTTTCAGGCACGTACAGGCAAGGCCTGATGTTGATGCAGCGCCAACCAGTTACTGTGGACTCGTGGACAAGATATATATAAAAAAGGAACAAGCCAGTTTAGAAAAAAAGGAACAAAAGGTGCGGCTGCTCTGAGTATGAACGAATAAGTAAATATACAATCCTATATCCCGTCGGCAGGTACTGACCGGGCACACATAATATTTATCATCCTGCATCCGTGTATCTTATATTCGGCACCCTATATCCATACTACGCATGCAACATTGATCTACTCTACGTGATCATACAACGGACAACAAAAATCGGCTGCAAAGAAACACTAAATCGGCTACAAACGGACATTAACAAACTTTATCACATCTAAAAATCATAGCTCGTCACCGGACAAGTTCTTAACCTTCTACAACTAAAAGCAATATAAACATTTAGG